AGACTTCTATTCACGTTATTGTTTTTAATTTGTTGTGCCTTTATGGTTGTGTATTTTTTTCTAATAATTTTTACTGAAGTACCTGCATAATCCCCAAGCTTGTTTGCTTAGCTTTTAAACTGCTAAATTCATCAAATTCTTTGTCACCATTCTGCAAAGGCTTGAATATTTAAGAGTATCCCTTTGTGAACTCTGCTTATTTTTTTAATATACTTTTATAGATATTAAGTATAATTGTCTGGACTAAACCAAGTAGAGCATACATACAGTTTAAGCTTAACGTATTTTAAGGTGATAAGACTGAGATGTGAGTTTAGAAAGTTTCAAGTTATATTGCTTTAAGATGTCTTGACATGTTGCATGTATATACAGAATGACAATGTAGGGTGTCTTCACCCTCTCTGCAGTTAATGTGTTCTTAGGCATCATGGTGTGAAGATGTGCCCATTGCCATTCGCATTCTGCAGGGGAATGTCTTGCAGCCAGCAGTGTGTAGGAACAGTAAACTTCTGTGGAACTGGAAATGGTGTCTTAATCTGTTATCCAGAACTGACTGCAACTGATGTCTGACCTGATGAATAGCATAAAATAAGCATTGAATTATTAACATGCTTGCTTCTCAGAATCTTTTTTCCTGTCATGTCTATGTAGACCTATCATAACTGCACTGACTGCTTGTAAGCCCTTGAGCACCATCTCTAGTGCTGATTTTTTTTAAATTGGCATGGTCTTTTTGCATGGTAGGTTTAACATTCTTATTGCTAAAATTGCCCTTTGGATTTTTACAGGTGTATTTCAACATGTCTTGTAGTACTTAAATAGTGGTGAAATTAAAACAGTTGTTGTCTCAATAGATATATCTGAAACTTCAGCATTTAAATATTTTGTAAATTGGAAGTATTTAATCTGTATTGATTAAAAGCCAGTCAAGCTGATTTTTATTGTCAAACTGAAGTTGCAGTAGTAATTGGACAAAACAATTTGAGTATTTAAACTTGTGAGTTGCCAAATGGCTGCTTCTTGCCAAGTACTCCTCTGTTTAGATGACAAGTCAAGCAGTTCAGATAGCCTCAGTGCAGACACCTGAAAAAGATTCCATGTGTCCAGGCAACGATATTGGAGACTGCTGCCAGAAAAAAAGGTAATGGAAATTTGCTTCACTCTGCAGATTGTAAAGATAGTAATTTTTTAGTCTTCAATTTTTTTCTTAGAAAGCTTCTTTAATATGTAAAAAAGAAGAAAAAAAGGAAAAAAAAAAATAGGGCATGATATAGAAGTTCAGGGAGCAGTACTGTGTTTCTGTCACAGACAAGCCATCTGTGATCTAAAGCCTAACACGTACTGTGGATCGAGTAGGGTATATGCTGTGATTACAAGTGTAATGATCATGCTGCACTATAGGAATGTATTGTGACATATCTTGTAGAATCAGCTGCTTCTCTTAAGTATCTGATTATAACCAACTTCTTAAAAATGCTTTGATATGTTCCTCATTTGAAGCAATCCATTTGAATGGATTAAATTAGCAAGGTGCTTAATCTGTGTTAGTGAAGAGAGTGTAGCATCTTTCTAGGCAGAAAAAACAATCTGAAACGTTTAAGTAGTCTTTACATTTCTAAGTGCTTTGTCACTTATGCTAATGCAGTAGTGTTAATGAAATAGTTTTGCCAACAGATATTAAAAATTTCTTGGTGTGGAAGAGTCGGATGGGGTTGGGAAGCATGAGGCTCTAAAACTGTGATTGCGGTGCAAAAATAACTATTTTTGATTCCTTCTTGAGGGCTTCGGTTTCTATATTGAAGTATTGAATTTGATTTTACTACTTTTGCAAGATTAATATGTGTGGGTGGGCTTTTAGTTGATGGAACAGGTATTTGAATGCTCTTTCCAAGTTTTCTGCTTTGCATTAACTACTGAAGTGTGTATTGCATAGCAAATGTTAATATAATATATTTGTATGCTACTGATTTGAATGTTCTGGTGGTTTTATTATGGTGTTGGATGACCTTTGCGTTTAAATCCTTCTGTACATAAACCTAGAAGTGGTAATGGGATGAAGGAAGCCACAAATAGATTCAAATGGTTAAGTACTGTGGCAGAGAATGTGTTCTTCCTGTAACAGGAACATCAGCAGCGTTCAGGCTATTAGCTGCTCTGGTGGCTCAGCTCCAGTTCACCTGTACATGAAGGAATACCCTCAGAAGATGAGGGCAGAGTAAAGACATCACTTGCACTCTTGTAGAGAGGGGAGTCCTCCCTCTAACCAACAGTATTGTTTGTAGTTACGAGAATAGTCAATCAAGGTCCCTTATGAATCGGATACATTTATTTCTCTCGTTGTCAATCACATCAATACAAGTGAATTTTTGCTGTGTTTTCTTTATGTGATGCTAATTGAAGGATTGTTATATTCCAATCTTCTTGCTCATTTCTCACTCTACTTTTGAAGTCCTCCTAAGTATAGGTATACTTGTAGCAGCAGTTAAGGCTGTGTGTATTATACACATAAGGTGGGAAAAATAGGATTTGCTGTCAATATTATAACTGTGATGGCTTAATTCCCCAGCAACCAAATGGGATGTTGTGCTACTGAGAATCCTTTGTGGGGATATTTGTGCAAAATACAGGATCTGCACAGAAAGATGTGTTGTAAAAACAGAGTTTTAACTTTTGCTGTGAGGTGCAGCAGGAATATGAGCTGTGGCGTTGAAGATAACTAACTCAGTATTACTGCTGTGGTTATAGTAGCCAGATTTCACTCCAGAGCTTTTTCACTCTAGCTGTTTTCTGGCTTAAAAATAGCTGAAGACTGTTCATTGATGAATTAATCACTATAGTCGTATGCAGAGAATCTGTTCTTCCACTTTGTGAGCATTTCCTGTGAAATGTTATTAATCCTTTGAAAACTGTCAGGCTTGCTGACTATATCTTACAGCTAGAGTGCCTTAATACTTTGCAGCTCAAGTCACCTTTTGAATCCAAGCAATAAGACAAGACAGTTATGTCAGGTTTCTATACTTCTTGATCCTACCATATTTTGAAGCCTATAACAGTGGGATTTCTTTATTATCCAAATGCGTGTATTTGATACAGAATCAACTGAGCTGAAAGTTATTGCCTTCTCTGATTATTTTTCTTCTGAAAATTGCTTCTGTAAGAGTTCTTTATAGCCTTAAGGTATTTTCTTGAATGGCTTAGCAAGAAAGAGCCAAGCTGTTTCTGTTTCATAATCAACAGTTTTTTTCCCCCAAGTTTACTTCAGAATTTGAATAATGCTGTAGTTTACTTACAGCTTGCTTTTCTGTTGGGGGAAGGTATGACAAACTCTGGGTGTTCTTTTTATATTGCTATAGTAGCTAGGATGGGTGTGACATTCTCCTTTTGCACAAAGTGAGGAGTGACTTAGGGCCCAGAGGACTTTTAAGTGGATAGATGTTCTTAGTAATGCTCTCAGATGACATGTGTGGCGCCTGCTCTCTGAATGTTTGACCAGTGCTCAGGCTGTGATTTCTACTTATTTGAAGCAGAAGGATGTTTACAAAATTGCAGTGATCCACCTGCAGTGACTGTATTTTTTAAGCATTGATCTGAAGGCCAGATGCTTGCAGAAGCAACAAATAGATGGATAGCTTCAAACTGACTCATTACTGCCTATCAACCTAACTAGCAAGATGGTAATAAATTTGCCTCGTGGGGATACACTGTAGCAATGTGTTCAAAAGACTGATGCTTTGCTAAGGGTAAACATGATTCTTAACTCTGCCTGTGCAAATTGCTGTGCCTGAGCCGGGGCTTGGAATCCCCATCAGGAAGATGGATGTTTGCAGACGTTTTTGCAATTGCCTTTGCAATTATAAATAAATAGATTCAACTTCACATTGAGACAGTACAAACATGTTTTCTGTCTGTTACTCCTGAATTGCAGTGGGTGACATAGTGCACATCTAGAACTTATACTATATCTGTAATGCAGGATATAATGACACTTACAAAGACTCCTGTAAACTGTTCTCTTGAATGTCCTAGAAACCCCAATAAATGTGTTGACTCAAAGAAGTCTGCTACTTCTGGTTATTTTTTGTAGATCAGAGCTTTTTAATGAAAGCATACTAGCATATAAATGCGATACATCTCTTAACTCTGGAGGATCATCTGTTTTCTTTAATCTGATAAATATAAAATACTTGACAATGAAGGCTTTTTATACTCTAGCACTTTTACTGAAGTGTGTTAGATGGCCTTTTTCCTGAGTGTTTCCAAAACTGGGTGTTTAAAAAGCTGTTCCATCAAAGGTAAGTGTAGGTTGTGTACTCAAGTTCTCAGTTTTAGCAAGGATGACTTTCAGTGTTTGTTCTTCTGCTTGTATCATTCGGCAGAGTCTGAGTTACACATTGACTAGATGAACAGTCTGCTTCAGGCATTCCCTTATAGAAGCATAACCAACTATGTGGCTGAGCAACAGGGATTAACATGAAAACAGAGATGAGCTGCTCAGAGCAAATATTACTTAAGCTGCCACTGTTGCCAAGAAATCTTTGTAGCCATAATGTGAATTTAGTGATGTAAAACTTTCCCAGAAGACAATTAGAGAATTTAGGAATGAAAGACTTGGCATATAAACATGTATCAGAGATTTGCAGAAAAAAAGTTCAGAGTAGCTTTTGTAACTATCTTCTGTGTGTATCAAAAGCAATTTAGGTTTCTGATGCTGTGAATGAGCCCACTGAAGTAAAACTTAAGTGTGGGCCTACCTAGAGCACTGAGCAGTACTGAGCCTTGCTGAGCTTTTGACCAGTGTAAAATATTGTGCTAATTGTGTGTTTTTCTCATTGTGAATTCAGACTTGAGTGGTTCAAATGATTAACTTGCAATTAAAATTTTGAACAGCCAACTTCAAACTGCTGACCTAAATATTCACCAGAACCTTGAGTAAATTTATTTCAAGACTTCTGCATTGTAAAAAAAAACAAAAAACAAAAAACAAAAAAAAACCAACAACCCTGGAAACTTTACTTCTAAAATGCATTGAAAAGATAACACTGTTCTTTTTGCAAAACCTGGATATTAGTTTTAATTGCATAAAGCACTTAAGTTGCTTAACACATTAATTAAACAGTTCAAGTTTTTGCTCAGCTTTGATTCACAGTGTTGTTGTGTAGAACCAGGAATCACTCAGCAAATGCAGAGAAAATTCATCATTCTCTTCTTATCGAGTATGAGCAGTATCCTCTGTAGGTTGTAAGTTGTACCTTGCTTCAAGTGATTATGCAGACGTTAACTCCTGCTCCTGGCTTTTGTTTGTAGGTTAACAAGGAAATACTGTGTGAACTTGCACAGCTAGTTCACTCCCTTGACATATGTTATTTTACTGTAAAATCAAGTAGCCTAATACCTATATGAAGAGGGGGATGGAGTATTTTACATTTACTGTATGTTTACAACATGCTGTTAAGAAGTTGCAGTATACTGGCAAATCTGCACTGAGCTTTCAGCATTGCTCTTTTCCTTCTCCCCCTAGCATCTTGAACTTCTGTACTACCTTTTACTACCTTCTTCATGACCCACGGCTGGGAGGGTTGATATCAGCAGTGGTATTTGATACCATGAAGTCAGATATGACACGTGAGATTTCACTTTGTTTTTATTGGTGGTGAGAGAGTAGGTTGGCTGGTTTATTTTAAAGCAGCAGTAATGTGATTGTCCTTCAAGGGTCAGAGATGTTGCTGGTTGTTAAACAGAATAAAAAATGTATTTCTGGTGCTTCTTTGATCAGAGTCTTGAAATTTGCAAAGGATCTGGGTGATGTAGTGGTTTTTGCTTCTTGTAGTGCTAGGATTCAGCTTGAGGTTCATCAGTGCGTTGTTACTAAGTTTATATATTTAATTATCAGAAAGACTGATGTGATGCCTACTCTTCTGTATAGTGGTAGGGGTCTTCAAATTTGTCAGGGTTCTTGCCTACAGAATTCTTTTCACATGCTTGTTGTTGAATGTTGGCTTTAATTTTTTTAGCAGTGACAGGAGTTGGACTTGATGATCCTCGATGTCCCTTCCAACTTGGGATATTCTATGATTCTTGATTTACTTGCAATGCATTTGGCTGTTGCTTTCATCTGAAGAAAACACTTTTAACATGGTGAAATGAAGCATATTCAGGGGTAAGATACTCTTAGCTCAAAATGGCTCTCTTGGAATCCGTCATAATGTAAGCAGTCTGTCTCCAGGCTAGACGTCACCCTTGTCTAATGAATGTTCTCGCATGCTCTTAGAGTAGTATTGGGAGGAGTGAAGCCCTTTGCTTCTGGGAAGCAGAGAGCTTGTATTTCCATCTGCTTCTGTGAGTCAGCCCATTCCAGAGGCGACTGGAGCAGCATTAGAAGGACTGAGATTGCCAAGCACCTCATCACGTAAGCGTCCTGTAGCCTCCTGGTTAAGGAGATCTTCTGGAGGTGGGACGCTGTGTGAAGAGAGCTGCCTTGTGGCTGTGTGTTTGGTGATGGTGCCCCAGTGGCTGGTGTATTGAGGAGAGAGGGATACACTGTTTCCCGCAACTTTGTGAATCTATGCTTTTTGAGGTTTTGTCCTGCTGGTGGTTTTGTTGTTGTTTGTATTTTATTCTGGAGTCCTCAGGTACAGTAACAACTTTTTCTTTGCCAGTGAATTTTGTAACTTATGAGGGGGAGACTTTTGCAGCATGATCTATCCAGTGCAACAATTTAGAATATTTGCTGTTTAGTTCTTTCAAAACACTTCTTCAAAGTTCGTTAACGATTTAGTGGATGCTGTTTAAGTCACAGTTTCACAGTACTCAGAACAAATCTGCATAGGCAGCAGCTGCTGGTTCTGCATTTCTGGCACTGGCACTTGCCTGAAATGCATTTTCTAAGATGGTTTAGAGAACTAAACTGGCAGAAAATAATTGACTTTTTCTGGCTTAGTTTGATTCATTGAACCATCCATCCTGCTGTGGTGCCTAGAGAAAGAATGCTGGGGAAAATAGGGCTTGCAGCAGTGTGACATTACGTGCATTGAACTAGCCGAAACCTTACGGTTCTTCCAACAATAGTAAAGTATTCCTTCTTTTGTGCATCTTCTTTCTTTTGAGTATCAAGAAAACAAGCACTTTAGATGGCTGAAAAACACTAGTTGCTGTTTCAAAGAAGCAAACCATAATGAAATGTTGTCATAGCTCCATTCTTCAGTCAGTGTCCTTAAAGTCAAAGCTTGCAGTGTGTCCCTCTTATGCCTCATTCAGCTCAGCAGAGCTGTAATCAGTTTGTAATTGTCAGTGTTACCATAAGGCTTGCCTTTCCCTCATTCCCCAGACAAAGCTGGCTGTTAGCCAGATTTCTTCCTGCAGTAGTTCCTTCTACAAGTGTACTGTCACTAACTTCTGTGAGAAGGGTGGTTTGATATGTAGTCTCTGATCCTTAAAGGAACTTGGGCATTTGCATCCTATTGAAAATGATGGATTAGATGCTTAAGTGTGTGTACATCTGAACTGTTGATTACCTGTTAGTTTTGTGTTTTAAGTTTAATTTATGATCAGTTTTATTGAAACTACTTTTAAAAATGTGTCATTATTATTTCTTCAGAGGAGCTGTAGTACTTTGAAAGAAAAGCAGTAAGCTTCAGCTGTGAAACTACTGTGCATTTGTACATCTAAGCAATCACAGTAAAGAGTTGGCAAATAAGACGTGCTGTACTTGATGGATTTCACTTTTGTCAAACTGTCTACTCGGCCATTTAAGCAGGTGAATAAAATCAAGTAAATAGCAGTTGTGTTAGCAGATATGCAAAAGCTGTTCCTTCAGTAACTGAATTTAGGGGCTTGAATGTCAGGTAGTAGGCTAGATGACTTTTAAAGTGCTAGCTTGAGCTGGTGAAGGAAAATGGAGAGAAAAATCTGCTTTTATTTTTTGTTGTTGATATGAATCCTTAATATGCTATTTAGAGTGCACTGAAAGATCTTATGACAGCCAGACATAGCTTTAGTTCAAGCTCCTCTGTTTTTCAGGAATACTGCTTTTTCCTAAATTCATGTACAAATCTGTTGTGTGCCATCTGGAGTGGCTAACTACTTCCTTTGTTTCTTTCTAGGAAATACCAAAATAAAGCAGATGTTGTGTCCCATACTGTTATCTCAAGATTTTGCAAGTCATTCTGTTATGTGCTCCTTGGCAGCAGGAATGTAAACTAATTCTTTCAACACTGAACTAGAACCTTGACAAGGTTGTGATTGCAGGTAAGAGCAAATTCTGCCTCTTAGAAATTTATGGAACAGTATAATCACTTGGACTGTGTTTTAATTTGCAACTTTTAATTGACTAAGACTTTCTCATAAATTTGGGAACAGATTGGATAAAAGAATGTGTTTTTTCATCTTTAATTGCATTTGAGATTTGCTTAATCTTTTTTAAATAGGAAGAAAATGCCCTCTCTCTAGTGCTGTACAATTACACAGTTAATAAATGAAAATGGAAAAAAATCTAGTTTATCAGCGCCCAAATGTATGCCATCCCAGAATTTGAGAGAGGTGTTTTCTCCCACAGAAGATTGTCTAGTGGAAGTCAAAGTCATAAAGTGTTTTGCCACAATGAGCTTAAATCAGCTTACTGCCTGTGTGGCTTTTCTTCCCTTCAAAATTCATATTTCCCTAAATCAGCTAATAGCAGCACTACTGCTTAAGTTACCCTTTTTAATCAGTTACAGAAAATTTCTAAATTGTTGTTACAAGTCCAGTGTAGCTTCTATTTCTGAATTACTTGTTTCAAGGGGAAAGGTTGTTGTCATCTTCCAGCTCAGTGAAAATGTTTTGGTTTCTGATCTCCTATCCTGACTTTATCTGACAGATTGAAAAGTGGTGTGGCAATAACTCTTGTCCCACTATTGAGTTACTATCTCTTCAACCTGTAGGTGGGAAACTAAAAATTTGTGTTCTTTTATTTTGATTTCTTTTTAGAAATGGTAAATTAAATGCTATAGAACTGTTAATTAAAAAATTAAAAAAAAAAAACACAAAAAAATGTCAAACTTCACGCTTTTTTTTCCTGAATAATTTATTTCCCTATTTAAACAAGGAGTACCTGTTTTCAAGACTGTCCATGAAATTGCTGTATTATGTATGTTGAATCTGCAGAATTATGATGAAATTAAAACCTTTTGGTCTTGATTTCATGTTTTGGTGTCTCTGATAGGATGAGTCATTTGCCTTAAAGTTGTTTGCCTTTGATTGTAGTGGCAGGATCACTGCAGTGGTGGAATGTTGATTTCAGGCAGTCTCACGTGTTACACTCAGAAGTTGTGTGATGCAGATATCAGTGATGGGTTTGTACGAGGGAGGTGATGCTAATTGTTCTGCTTCTCTAATGAAAGAAAGGTTCAACTGTTTTTTGTTTTGGATATGCTTTGATTTTTGCTTGTTTTTGTTATGTTTCGATTCAGTGTTTGTATTTAATTCACAGTGATGTAAAGATTTAGAAAAGGCACAACTCTTCTTATGTCATAAACTATATTTTTGTTGGATTGGATGTGTATTCCTCAGATCTGTGTGTGAATCAACAAGTCACCCCTCAACTAAATTTAAAAAGTACATATATAACTTTTTTTTTACTGTGGTTCTGTGTACCTGCTGCAAAACAATTACTCTGGTCCTTTCAGACCTGGTTAGGAACATTTATTTGATTATGAGTTAGGCTTTCATTTCTACCTTATTCTCATATAAATGTATCTGAAGCTTTTCTTCTTATCTCTTTCAACGTTTGTTCAGTTATATTGAGAGTATTAACTTGGGATAAGGGAAAATTCATTTTTAGCACAAAGCAATATGTCACTAATGAGTGAAATGATTTCTTCTATTTTGATACCCACTGTATATTAGCTGTATGGTAGCTCTCTTTCTTTGAAATTTTACATGCTTTTTCTTTAATAAAGGCCTGTCTGGTGGTATTTTGAGAAGATGCCAAGTTTAATTAAACTCATAAAATAGCTGGTCCTCTGTTGAACTTAGAGAAGCAACAACGTAAAGACTGTGTAGAAGTACCTAAACCTTCTTTAGGGGAAGGATCACTTCTATACTAGGTCAGTGCCTTCTAGTGTCCAAAAGCTATGCATCTACCTTTGCTCTGAATCATCTACAGGAAGTGTGACCCAGTGTAGGCAAAAGAGAACAATTTCAGTGAATGTGAGATATAAGTCTTATTAGCAAACCTACCATTGTATGATCCTAAGAAAGAAAGTAAAGATCAGTCAATTGGGTGGTATGATAATACCACACCTTGTTGCAGTTTCTATCAAGGGTAAGAAGTGACTCAAGGGTTGAAAAACTTAAATTGGTGATATCTGATTTAACCATTTCATTCAGGTGCCCATGCACTTAACTCCTACTTCAGGATGGCACAAGGGCATGGGTACTGGTTTGCAGAAGGGCTATCATGGCTTTCAGACTTGAGCCTCTTATGTTCCCATGGAATGGTGAAAGCAATAGTGAGTTTATTTTGCACTTGCCCAGGCCTGATATTGCAATACCTGGTGAACCAGCCTGGGTATTTGCATCTTACACACTACTTCTCATATAGTTAATGTGTAACTCACATAAAGCTGGAGTTTTCCAGATGGCAATTGAGTTTTCCAGCGTTCATAATATTTAGATGGCAACTTGATAACATCTGAAATTGTTACCTAGAAAACTAAGAGAAATGACATGGAATGAAAGAAGTTTCTACTCTCGAGCATTTGTTACTGAGAAGGATATCTGCATTCCTCTTCAGTAATTTCCTAGCTGAAGTGCTAGTGTGAACAGACTAGCAATCACAGAATTGTGTGTCATTAGCTAGGAAGAACTCTACATGTTTTGATGCCTGGTCCCAGTAGTTTACAGGCGTGACCTCTGCAGTGTGTCTAATTGTGATGCTGCACATACTGACAAAGGCTTGGTAACTCTAAAATGTATCAGCCTGAACACCAATGGTGAGTTTGTACTGTTTGCAGTGATTGCAGAGGTATGTTCTTGTGAAGCTCATCTTGGGCATCTGAGATGTGGTATCTCAACTTTGTACCTACCAAACTGCATTCCAGGTAAATAAGAGGCTGCAGCATGAAAGCGTGCAACTTATCCATGAGAGCCAGGCAGTTGTCACACTGAACTTGCTGCAGTTATGTGACTTTGTCCATGTTTTTAAAAGGTACAAAAGAACAAAATATGAACTTCAGGAGACTTCTATATGTAGAAGCCACTGTATGTGGTATATTTACTTGTTATGCTGTGCGTGCTTAGCCTGCAGGTTTTTTTTTGTGTAGTTTTACTTCATACCAGTTTTTAAACTTAGATCCTCAAGAGTTACAAAACTGTGCAAGAGAGAGCATAATTAAAATAGGTTTTGAGCTACAAATGCTATGAAGCTGGCTTCTAGAGGTACTCATCTTTCCTTACCCTGTGCCTTGATGACTGGTCCTATCAAGGGGCGAATTAAGGCTTATCTAGCCTCTTATTTCAAGATGTTTTGTGATTTGTTGTTTTTTTTGTTGTTGTTGTTCCCAAATGTCAGAACACAGTTCTTGGCTTCCTAGTGCTTCTCTGCTTAGCTCTACTGTATTTTGTCAGTAGCTTAGTTGTACATACCCTGCACCTAATTCTGAATGTACTCCAGAGACTAAACTCCAGTGTTTCAATATAATAATCTGATTATTTACATGCATTACCTGCCTGATGGCAACTTTAGAACCACAGTTTCTGATGTATCAAATCATCTAAAATTTGTGCCAGGTGGAACACAAGCATATGTGTGCACCTGAAGTTACAATCTTGCTAAAAAGGTGATAGATCCTAACCTAACTCCTGGTGTGCCTTTTTACACAATCCCACAGTCTTTCCTACTGGAGTTTATTCCTGTATTGGATCTGCTGTGTGAGCTGCTGGCTTCTAAATTCACTGCAGTCAAAGTCACAGGGTTCTAAAATTAAATTAAAGCTATTTTTTGCACCTCTTTAGTGAAACAGTTTAAATAGCAACAGCAAAAACATCTCAGCCCGCATTTCTGAAAGAGAGGAAATTGCTGGCACAAAGTAGTGGGGAATAGCTGAAGCATAGCAAATTATGTTTTCAGGTATTTCTGTAGACATTGGAAACAGATGTAAATCCACAGCATTAAATACTACCTGTGATTGTTTCATTCCTTCAGACTACCTTGAAGTAGCTAACGCATATTTTGCAATCTTACCTCTTTGTTTTAAATGGCTGATTCAAAAACAGTTTGCTTCCTTTGTGTATTTCTTTGTTTGCTCCCTTCACCCCCTCATCCCAAGCTACCCCCCTCCCCCCCAATAAAGTTACATAAATTCATTTCAGACTTATAGCTGCAGATTCTAGGCATGTATCCTCTTTGCTCAGAGACATGATGTAGTGAGGGTTTTTAGAGTTAGGGTAGCATGGTTAGGTTGCAGTTGGACTTGATGATCTTTAAGGTCTTTTCCAACCTGAGCAATTCTGTGATCCTAACTGATGATTGGACTGACTAGGCAAATTTTGAAAATAAAAGCCTATTGGAGTTGTTTCATGTAATCTTGGCAGGAGAAGTTTTTGATGGTAAATTTTATATAAGTGTTATAGTAAAGGTTTATCTTGATATTTCATTTCTTTATATCACTATGAAATGAATCTTTGATTAGCTATGCTGCCAGGATCCTTCCTCACTTGACCCCTAGCTTCTTCTGGCTACAGTTGATTTAAAAACAATATTCAGATCTCATTCTTAACAGTTCTACTCTGCCAGTACTTTGAAACTGTTGGACTAATTTAAGTTACAGTAGCTGCTACTGCCAGACTTCATGTAGAGCTATTGCTCAAAATTTCAGTAGCTCTTTGCCTAACTTTGCCTAATGTAAATTTATGAAGTGCCAGTGTCTTTTGAGTAAAAAAGGGATCCCAAGCTTTCTGTCATTGAAAATAGAGAATTATTGCTTGCATTCCCTGTAAGATTTGGATCAAGTAGAAAACATGAGAGACATGTACGTGTTTGGACTTAAGATAAATAAGTCTTGGAATAGGTTTTTGCCCCAGGAAAGGTGTATCAGTTTCTACTGACAACGCTGAACTCTCTTGGAAATGTCTTAGCTATTGATTTAAAACTAGAGATGAAGACTGTAAGAGAGCTGGAGTTACTGCCAGAGCAGCATATTGCTGAACTTCCTTTGAAGGCCTTCCAAAGACTACTGTTAGTGATTAATTGGCACTTATCAGGTGGTGGTGGTGTTTTTTTCCTTCCCAGAAGTGAGAGAATTACTGCAAAAAAGGGAATCCTAAGTTTCCACTCTTGATCTGAAGAGTGCGTACTGTTTTTAAAGAAGTTAGTCACCATTTCTTTGCTCACTAAAACTTCAGCTGATCTTCAAAGCAATTGCTGCTTTATATAGCCTGCCTAATAGAAACAGTGATAGAAAGAGGTCTTGTGTGTGTGCTTGGTGTCTTCTTTATGACCAGCCATAAGCTGGATACCTAGCCTTAATGTTGTCTTACTGATTATACGTCAATCTCAACATCCTTTATTATTTGTAGTTTTAAAAAGTATTTGTAATATTAAAAAGTATGTTTAGAATATTTAAAAATGAGGTTTTTTTATTATTCCTTCTGACCTGTAAGAAATAGAGCTATAGAGCTACTTACAAAATTGGTAAAGCTAGGATGTGGAACACATGCTTTGATTCTTTTTTTGCATTTTAATATATATATTAACTATCTATATAGTTAATGCCGTGGTCACTGGCTTTTGGAATTAGATGAGTTTTGATCTCTACATAACTGTGCGTAGGTGTCTCCAAAAGTAATGCCTCCTATTTGTTTCTGTGGAAATTACAACAGATACAAAGAGAACAACAATACCATTTGATATTGTACGTTAACAGCTACAAAGTGCTATTTTTCAACATGGCCACCATCATTAGCTATGCGTTTTCACCAGAAATGAACAAGAGCCTACATGCTGGGCTTGTGGGAACTGCACCAGTGGAGGTGACCCACTGTCGCCATTGCTGAAACACTGTTCAAATGTCTCCATCCATGTTCTGCAATGTCAGTGAATGTCAGTGGTGCAATTTTTTCCACACAGAGGAATTCAGTGTCAAACTTTTGCTTCTTACATGCTTCCATGTCAGGCACCAATTTGTCAGTCTGCTGCAGTCTGTCACATAGCAACAGCATGTAATGGAATATTGTTAGGAAGGTTCAGCCTCTACTGCTGTACCACCAGCATCCACCTCTGACATTGTTGGCCTACATAATCAAATAGGAGGCATTACTTTCAAAGCATATCTCAAATGGTTTGTGAACATTATCTGCTGATTTGAAGTCAGTCTTGTTTTTTGTTTTTTGTTTTGTATTAGATGTCCCAGTTAATTGTCACTTGAAGTGAATTTTTAAAGTCTGAGAGCTGTTTTCCTGTTTTATTTAGAGTAAAAACAAATTGACATTAACTTTTGAGTGTGTTTTCTTGTTAACTTGGTTTTACTGTAGATTCTGCAGCTGGAGATATGTGCCTTGTTTAAATGGAATGCTCATATTGGAACATGTACAGGGCTTAGGATATCTTCTTTAGTCACATGATTCTTTTCTTTAATAGCTCCTTTAGACAACTTACTGAGTACAAGACTTGTGTTATAACATCAGACTTCCTGATAGCAGAATATTGGTACTTAGAGATAATCAGCTATTATACATTTGTAGAGCTTGCTAATAGGTGTGAATGATTTACAGTTGTGATAGTGTCTCAGAACCAAGCTGGAGGGGAATGTTTGCACAGTCTACTGTGTGCAAAACCTTAATTACTAGCTGATTGTTGAAGAAAAGTTTCCATAGAAAATCTGTGTAAACTTGGAATCTGATTGTTGTTTTGTTCCACGTCTCTGAGAGGCTCTTCAAAACAGATAATTTCAAGACTTGAACCTAGAATATAACGTGGTACTTGAACATAAGAGCTATCTGAATTCTGGTGTTTCTCAGTTGATTTGGCTTTCTTTACCTTTTTCTTTATGATGTTCACAGCTTGTTAGAAAACCACAATAATCCTTCTGTGTAATATTAATAGCACTTGAATCAAAGAATATTAGACACGAATTAAGAGAGACAGTAAAATTACACTTACTTTTTATGCCAGGTGAAGAGTTGCTTCAGTATTTGCAGAAATTTGTCTAAGGTTTTTGTTGAAAGGGAGTTCAAAAGATTAATAGCTGGTGAGTGAAGCCTTAGTCTGTGCAGTAAGTCCTCAGCCCTTTCGTGGAGGCCACCGGAACTGAGAGATGGCAGGAAGTTTGGATTGACTGCATGGCAGTTCTAAGGTTACCCTGGCAGGATGGAGTGAGGAATCCAACTGTAAGCTTTTCCTCCTGTCAGAGTAAGCTGAAAATGCTGAAAATGTCTTTAATGGAGGAGAATGAAAGAACTAAAGAATTCTTAACCTCTCTTTCTGACCTAGTAACAAATTCTGAAACTGGATCATAATGACTGCAGGCTTGGCGTGTGCTAGTGTGTGAGACACCTTGTGACTGACTAGCTCAGGATCGGTTATGGCAGAATTATCTCAGATTTTTGCTGGGTGGCTACAGCCAGTCACTAAGAGTTTCATGGGGCAGACATCACTGTTAGTGTGATTGGAAGTTGTCTCAGTTTCTGAAGTTCTCAGAAAGGTAGTATGGAACTTGTGGATTAAAGAATATGTTCTTGCTGACTTGGTAAAGTGGAAGTTGGTTTATCAGGCCTAAGTAGAAAGGCCTGGTCTTGTATCAGTGAGGAAATCAGAAGTCTTCGATAGGTCGCTTATAGATACTTATACTTTACCTGCAAGCTTACTCTCTGAGGATGCTTCTTATGTATTTTGAAGCAGATCTTCTCCAAGTGTTGATGAACTAATTTTCTGTGGAAAGTCTTTTTCTTATCTGTTTTAATTGGATGTGTTTTAAAATCAAGATCAATGCATTTATTAACTTAAAACATTTATTAACTTAAAAACTCATAATTTAAGACAATATTGTGAAATTTTTTCTTGGATCAAAGTGGAATTGGTTTCTTTTTTGGAAGTGCTGTAATCATACTTTTCTTTGGTACAGATGTTCTATATTCTTCTGCTATTAACTTTACCATGCTTTTTGAGATTATGGAAGTGGCATGGTACATGCAAAGCTAATGAGAACAATTGTTACTTAAAGGTATTAGCTTTTCTTCGTGCCTGAAACTAGAAAGGGAATAGGGGTAATATGGGTGTTATTTTTCCAGTATGAGTAAGTTTTGACAAAGATGTCAAAATTGGCAGGGCTTTAAAGGTATGTGAACTATGCCATCACTATGTGTTCACATGGAGAGCTTTTTGCACGTTTTAATTCTAATGAATAGGTCTTAAAAAAAAAACAAACAGAAAATGTAGCAAAACACACCCACACAAAAAAGCAAACAATCTGTAAGTTCCCACTGCATTAATGTAATCTGTTAATTACTCTTCCCTTTATAGCTGTCGATTTTAACACTTGCATGTTTTATAATTAATGAAGAAGGCAGAGGGAGAAGAAAGCTGACATTGAACTTATATAGGATGGTGGCTTTGTAAATAAGACTTTTCTTCTCTGTTTTCCAGATTCAATATTGCATAAACATGGGTGCATTTTTGGATAAGCCAAAAACTGAAAAACATAATGCTCATGGTGCAGGGAATGGCTTGCGTTACGGCCTCAGCAGTATGCAGGGATGGAGAGTGGAAATGGAAGATGCTCACACAGCTGTTGTAGGTATTCCCCATGGCTTAGAGGACTGGTCCTTTTTTGCTGTCTATGATGGTCATGCAGGATCTCGTGTTGCAAATTATTGCTCCACACACTTACTAGAACACATCACTAACAATGAAGACTTTAGGGCAGCAGAAAAACCTGGATCTGCTCTTGAACCTTCAGTGGAAAATGTCAAGAGTGGAATCAGAACTGGCTTTTTGAAAATTGATGAGTATATGCGCAATTTCTCAGACCTCAGAAATGGGATGGACAGAAGTGGCTCAACAGCAGTGGGAGTTATGATTTCACCTGAGCATGTGTACTTTATCAATTGCGGTGATTCACGTGCTGTTCTCTATAGGAATGGACAAGTCTGTTTTTCAACACAGGATCACAAACCTTGCAACCCAAGGGAGAAAGAGCGAATCCAGAATGCAGGAGGCAGTGTAATGATTCAGCGTGTCAATGGTTCATTGGCAGTTTCTCGAGCTCTGGGGGACTATGACTACAAATGTGTTGATGGTAAAGGCCCTACAGAACAACTTGTTTCTCCAGAGCCTGAGGTTTGTGAAATTTTAAGGGCAGAAGAAGATGAGTTTATCATCTTGGCTTGTGATGGAATCTGGGATGTAATGAGCAACGAAGAGCTCTGTGAATTTGTTAAGTCTAGACTTGAAGTATCAGATGACCTGGAAAAAGTGTGCAATTGGGTAGTGGACACTTGTTTACATAAGGTATGTAACTGTTTTCTCCAAGCAGATGTTCTAATTCTGTCTTCTATTCAGACAGGTGTAATGTTAACAACCTAATCTTCCCCTTTTCCTTTTTCTTTCCCTCAAACTTCAGTACCAGTTTGACTGTGTGTCTTTGAAGACTATACAACCTCATCCTCTGAGAGACAATAGCAATTGCAAAAATACAACAATAATTTTTGCATATAGTTCTAGCTCTCAATTTTGTTTCAGTTTTTAAAATGATTTTTTCAAAAGGTCTTTTAAGAAGGAATTGATTCTGTGACAGGTCTCTGGTTTTCATTGCTTTTCTCAGTTGAGCAATTGCTCTCTTTTGCATAGAGTGTGTGCTTTACTATCTTTTCTGTACTCAGCTAATTGTGAAAGCTCATATGAAGCAAAACTACTCAGATAAGAGTTTGCTTGCACTCTTCAAGTTTGTTAGGAGCTATTGGTCTGCATATCTTCATTAGATTCATCATTTCCAAGCATTTCTTGAGAAGTGCAGCTTTTATTATTACATATAAAGGCAATAGACCAAACAGGCAGTTCTGAGAAATTTTAACAATGAAGGGTAAGTAGTTTCTTTCAGTAATGCCATATGTTGTATAATTGGATTAAATACCCTGGCTTTTCTAATCAAGCACTTGTCTAGCCTCGTTAATAGCTTGTACATGTTCAGTGAACTGAGCTCTGACCTTTTGCTTATTTTTTGAAGTTTGGATCTGTGCAAGGTGTGATGAGATTAGAATACAGTCTTGTCTTCAGAATGTGAAGTACTATTTGCTGTTAAAAAAATATATATGTATATGTATTATCTACTGGAACAGGCTGCTCAGAGAGGCTGTGGATGCCCCGTCCCTGGAGGTGTTCAAGGCCAGATTGGATGGGGCCCTGGGCAGCCTGGTCTAGTATTAAATGGGGAGGTTGGTGGCCCTGTATGTGTCAGGGGGGTTGGAGATTCATGATCCTTGAGGTCCCTCCCAACCGTGGCCATTCTGTGATGTGTGTGTATATGTATATATATGCTTGATACAAGAGGGGAATGTGGACATGTGTACTTTTGAAGGAATTTATTATCATATCAGATTCCTACTTAATTTCCTCAGGAGAACAAGTTATCTTAAATGATAGGAACTGCACAGTAGGTTGGTGTTGCAGAGCGACTAAATGACACTGAAATTTCTGAGTTTGGATGAGGAGGAGCTATTTGGATCATGATTTCATATTTAATACAAGAGTAGAGAACCATACAGGAAAAAAAGCTTAGATTTCAAACCAGAAGTTTAGTTTTATTGAATCTCCTTGTAGGATAATTGGACGCAGATGTGTTTTTATATTTAGCAACGGATTGTAATTTTGAAAAAAGACCAGGAAAGAATTATTGTAACTTACAAGTGAAGAATTGGCATTCAAATTGGTACCTGAAAAAGCTCTTGGCTAATACTGATGAGTACAATGTAGTCTGTGAGATCAGATTGGCCATACCAAGTGAATTCTTATTTTGTAATTTGTCTTTTTTCCTTAAGGTGCAATGTATGTGACACAGATGCTTTCTGATGAGCATGCTTTTATGAATGTTCTCAGACTGATGTAAATTACTAGCTGGAGCTAACTATTCTAGTAGCTCAGAGTAAATATTCTGCACTTCATTTTCCAACATGATTTTGTTAATTTGGGTTAAGGCTAATGTTAAATGACTGTATAAATATCTTACAGTTGTCTTAAATGTTTTTCTACACTTTTTATTTTGTTCAAAAAGTTGTATTTTGACATAAATAAGTGCCTGAAGTATTTTCAACTTAAATGCTAAATGGAAAGTAGAATGAGTAAAATTCAATTTCAGCAAATAATTTAGTTGAGAGAGAGGTTCTTATTGATCAAAGTTCTGTCGTATTGCAAGGCTTCCTTTTCCCAGTTAGATCTAGAATATAATACTTAAAACAAGTGAAAATATGACTGGTGACAAGAACAGGAAAATGAAAGACAAATCTAAAAACCTTAACTGTTTTTTTTTCTTTGTCACGTAGGGGAGTCGTGATAACATGAGTATTGTACTAGTTTGTCTTTCAAATGCTCCTAAGGTCTCAGATGAGGCAGTGAAAAAAGATGCAGAGTTGGATAAGCACTTGGAATCACGGGTTGAAGGTAAGAAATCCATTTTGTTCATTAGAAATACTTTCATAGCCTTCTCGAGCATGAAAACAAAAACAAACAAAAGCCATGAACGCTGCCATGGTGCTATGATCAGGAAAAATGTTGTCAGGAAAGAAGTTGTAAGGCACATATTTTCTTAATGTAAACTTGAGGCTTTTACCTCTGTCTTTACAAGACAGTATGCAACCACTGACCTTGCAGAGGCTTGTGTCATCTAATAAAATAGTGGTATTGTTAATGTTTTGCTTATGAAATATCATTAAAAGGATATTTGTGGTATTTGCATCATTTCTTTGTGAAAGCTTGACAGAAAAACATTCAGTTCTTCATTAAAGGATACACAGCCAGCAAGTTGTGGAATTGCTTGTTAAACACAGTTGTGAGTTTATTGTAAAATATCAGTTTGAAAGATAACTTGTGTAAACTTTAACAGATAACTGATCAAAATTCCTTTGAATGCAAGCCCTTCATATCATTCTATATCATCCTTTTGGATTCTGAATGCTTGAAATATAAGTGTATGTGAATAAAAGTTGTATAATCCTGTAGAATTTTCATGGAGGAGTAAACTTGGTCACTAACCTGTTCAGTTATTAATTTCATTTTTTTCTGGTTTTACTTATCCCAAGTGTTGAATGCAGCACCTTCCCTTTAGCAGAAAAAGTTAAAGGAAAGGTAGTTCATTGAGAATGAAAGACTAGCCCTTATATTTTTTTGCTTTTCTACCATGTTCTTTGTGTTGGAAGAACTGACATTTGAAGCAGACTTTCAGACTACTGTTTCTAATTAAAAATCTTTTTATCATCAGTTAAGGCTGTTCTGAGGTCTGGCGTGATGGTAGTGTGTAGCAGCTTCTAGGTCTGTTTCACTATTGGTTACTGTAGTGACCCAAATATAGCTCAGTTTGGTAGAACTGACTGAAGTTCATTGTCGGTGCTGAAAGTTTGTGTTTTTATATATTGGTACAGGCTTTTGTGGGGGCAACTCAGGCATGGAAAGAACTGTTCCTGGAACAATTTGTCTTGATGTTACAAATGTGACTGGGCTAATACTGTGAAATAGCATCATTAGAGAGAAATACTCTTAAGAGGTTTTGAAAACCTTGTTGCTACGAATTTTTCAACTTCTGTAACCTCATCAGAAGAGCAGTGAGGAACTGTCATGTGTTTATGTATAATGTAGTTTATTAACTCAGCTGCTGGATCTGTCATGACAGCACTTTTTCTGAAGAACATGGTGGGCTGAGGAAGGAAATTGAGAGGATCTGAACCCTTTGACTTCTTTCAAGACTGGATTAGAGTGTTCTTGATTACTACTCTACTACTTCTGGTTTAACTATACTTTATAGAGGTGGTCTCTGTATTTGGACAATGAGTTATGCAGCTGCCTTAGATGTGTTTGTGCTAGGTGTTGAGTGACTGCTGTATTGCAGTATTGCTGTCTTGTTGGTGCTTTTTTGTTCGTAATGAGAAGTGCAATATCAGCAGATAATGCAGAACTGTTTAGCAGTGGTCCATGAGATTTCAAACTTAGGACTCAAGATGTTTGAGACTTTGGTGCCTTCCTACTGGTTCTGACCTGGGATCCTGGGACTGTAACAAGGTCTCTGTGACATAGATCAGGTCTCTGGAGGGTGTCTGCCTGAGCTTGAGCTTTTTTTTTAAAAAAAAAGAAAGCATGCCTATCAAAATTTTTTTTAACATGGTTCCTGAATGGCAGGAGCCAGGCATGGAGTCTATAATCTGTAGAGGTAAAATACTGATTTCCTTTTACTAAAAATCAAAAGCATTTGATTGGGATTACTAATACAGGACTCCAGAGCTATCACATGGGTAATAGATTCCACCCTTGTTTTTCATGTTGGTTTCATTACAGTCTGAGACCCGCTGGCTTTTCAATACTCTCTAATGGATAGATATGTAAAGGACTGATTGGACCTACTTACTAGAAAATAGTTCATATTCAAATAAGTAGGACTAAGTATGAATGAGAAGTAATCCTGCTCTGTAAATTCAAGGAGTTCAGGAAAATTCTGTGTGTGTACGTATTAGAGCAAACAGTAAAACAAATAGAACAAAACCAAATGAAGAACACTGCAGCTCACTCATAACTTTTCATAACACTGATTCAGTGTAGAATGCAACAGTTTGCCTAAAAATGTCTGTGCTGTCATTGCAGCCTGATGGCTGTGGATGCCTGTCAGTTTTGCCACTTAGGTTCAAGGATTTTTTGATACTAACTTTAATGTTATAAATAACATTTACTGTAGAGATTGTATTTAATTTTTCATCTTAGAGAAACAATTGTACTCGTGTTCTTTATCTTGGTAAGATTTTGTTAGTCTTATGTAACAAAACGAGGTACACTTAGGATTACTTTTTTTTTTCATGCTTGTTTCCCAGGAATATTGACAGTTGATGTAAGAAACCTTAATCTTTGAAAATCTATGAGAATACCTTCAGGCCATAACACAATTACCTTTGAATGTGCAGGTATTGTGTATGGGCTGATTTCTTTCTCCCCATACCACATGTGGTTTAGATGGGATCTAAATTGAAATGGTTTATATATTTCTTTTTTTCTTTTGAGATCATTGAGATCTAATGGTCACTTCAAATGTGAACTTTAGACACATTTCTCAGAACTTGGCTTACATCCCAGACTTTCTCAATGATTCTAGTTAAGATAAATAACTATTATCTTCCTGTGTCTGAATAAGAGTACACGAGCTGTTAATAGGCTCTGGGCGAGAGCCAGGAACAGTTACCTTTGCTGTCAGCAGTTAGGTGTACACGTGGTGCTTATGGAGTTAGAATTCCTGGCTTCTTGGTGGCTCCTCTCTCAGTTTGCAGATGGTTGAAAAATACATAGGCCTACAGTGTATTTTGTTGCTTTTACAAGTGAATGATAAGATTAATAGTAAAGCTATTAAGCAACTTCAAGTTAGATTATCTGAATGAACTGTGGAAATGATTTAGGAAGCACTGTTTACTAATAATTAGGCATTATTGTTGCATGGTAGAGTTACTGCTCTGATGATCAGAAAAGTGTCTTAATAGAGATGTATTTTAACCACGTTGTCACATTTAACTAATATTATACACACCAAACATAAGATGGAGACTTTGGAATCTGAATTCATGCACAGCCATACTGAATGTAGTTTGAAACGATAGCATAAGTAGTCAATAGAATCAATTGCTTTTGATTTCTGTTGCTTCAGCTATTCTTGATTGTTTTTCTTACTTGAGTTCCCTGTGTTGTTCTGTGTTCAGCTAACTGGACAGAATGCAAGACCTTCAAAAGTTAAGTATTTAGCAAGGAAGAGTGATAGTATATTTGAGGGAGTTCTATCAAGAATCACAGAAAAGAAAGGGAACAGCTTGGAAAAATGTGAAATCGTTACCTCTATATTTTCTAAAATAATTATTTGCGTTCTTAAATTTTACAAAATTGTCATTTTGGCATAGTTTCTTTACTAGAAAAAAAGCAATTGAACTACATTTTTTGTGTTATATTTGCGCCTTGAGTACTCTTAGTCCAGAAAAGTTGTAGAGAAGCTTGAACGAAACACTTCAAACAACCAAATTGCATAGTGGAGAATCATTTAGAAAGAAGTTGGTTTCCTAAAAATAGATAAAACGCCAGTCCTCTTTAAAGGTTCACATAGTGAACAGAAGTTTTTTTTCACTGAAAGAAAAAAGGACTAAAGCATTAGAATATTTGGGAAAAATACGTAAGGTGTGAACATCTTATCAGAGGGTGGGTGTTCTTCATGAACGTACACAGTTCAACACAGTATTTTTCGGTTCCCTATTGATTCTTAGATTTCAAGCTGATGGAACTATCCCATCAAAGCCTTAAAACAGCAGGTTTTTCTCTGCTCTGATACAGGCATTTTCAGGTTTGGCTTAGAGTAAAAGGCATTGTTTGAGGAATGCTTTCCTTGGTCTTGTGTGATGGTTTTCATATATATATCTGTGCTCAAAAGCAGTTAAATATTTGCATATGTAATTTTTGTAGTCTGTTTTTACACATGTAGGATGCTGAGATCATGTGCATTGGTAAAATGTTAGTAGTTCTGTCCAGTCTTTGCAGAGTTATCAAAACAAACCAAAAACCTTTAAAATAAGACCAGGGGTTCTTTTTGAGACTTATAATGAAAGAACTATGTACTAAAGCTGTTCTGCTAACTGGGTTCTTTATGTTAATGATGTGTGTGTAACTGCATTCCTAAGTTGCAAGTTTCAAAGGGTGTTTTGAAGTAGTTGATAACTTGTTATCAAGTAACTTATGACAATGGCTTGTTCTGAGTTGCTTACTTGGTTAATTGCCAAATTGATGCAAGTGTGTTGGATGGTAAAGTTGTGCTAGGTCAACCTTTTCTCGCTGTCTTACTGTCACTTTCAAGTGCTACTTTCTGTTTTGTTTTCATCTGTTTTTTTAGAGATCCACAGATGGCTCACAGTAAGAGGATACTAGGCACAGAAGCTGATACTCTGATATGTTTTGATTTATTTTAGAGGATGTATCAGACATGGAGATTAAAAAGCAAAACAAAGGGAAAAAATAACCAACCCTTCAAATCATAAATAGGGGCATTTGTTCAACGTAAACTTACAGCTTTAATAGTTGACTACTCAATTGATTCGGTTACTTGGTTAGGGCATTTTATGTGTGTGTAGTATACACTATATGTAACTGTTCTGCAGCAATAGAGCTGGACCCAGGGGAGAAAAGTGAATTCCTTCCTGTGTCATTATCTTGGATCTAGAGATAGATGAAATGCTGAGATGTAAAAGGCAGTTGTAGTTCTGTTTGGTTGGGGATGTAATCTTTGGGGAAAAATATGCATCTGTATAAAACTCCCTTAAGGATAGAGAGACCTTGCAGAAAGATCTCGACAAATTGGACAGTTGGGCAGTTGCGCATCAAATTCAATATGAGCAAGAGCACCTGGGATGGGGCAACCATGGATGTTTGTATAGAATGGTGTATGAGAGGCTAGAGAACGTCCTAGAGAAAAGGGATCTGGAGGTTCTGATTGGCAGCAAGTGTGTCCTGGCTACACAAAGGGCCAACTGTGCCCTTGGATGTCCCAGGCCCAGTACTGCCACAGGGCAAGGGGAGGGTTTGTCCAGCTGTGCTCTGTGCTGCATGGCCTCACCTCCAGCAATGGTTGCAGCTTTGGGTGGTACAGTGTAAGGGCATAAAGCTATTAGAGAATGTCCAAAGGAGGGCTACAGAGGTGGTGAAGTGTCTTGGACGGCAAGGTGTGTGAGGAGCAACTGAGGTTGCTGGGTTTGCTGAGGAGCTGTCAGGGGAGGGACAGCTGGGGGTTAGGGACAGGGTCTGCACCAGAGGGCAGTGGGCATGGAACAGGCTGTCCAGGGCTGTGGGCACGGCCCTGAGCCCAAGGAGCATCTGAGCAGTACTTTCAGAAATAGTGTTTGAATTTTGGGATTGGACTCATTGATACTTATATGTCTCTTCCAACTTAAGATGTTCTGTGGTGTCAAGTTTATGTTAGTGATAGAAATAAAAAAGATTTTGCAGGCATGTTTTGCATATTTAGGGTAAAAAAAAGAAATTGCAGTGTTCCACTCAAGATCGTTGAAAAGGTGAAAATCTTGTAAATGCATGTAAATTTGTTTTCTTTCTCGTGCAATCTTTGTCAAACAAATGAGTACTGCTCCAGAAGTAATGCCTCCTATTTTGTAATGTTGGCCCATGTGATGTCAAGGACAGATGTTGGTGGTACAGCAGTGGAGGTTGAACCTTCCCACCAATATCGCCTTATATTTTGTTGCTGTGCGACAGATGTCAGCAGAGGGGCAGTCTGACAAGACAGCATCTGACATGGAAGTGCATATGAAGCAAGGGTGTGTCACTGAATTTCTCCATGCGGAAAAAATTGCACCCATTGACATTCATTGATGCTTGCTGAACATTTATGGAGGCCAAACAGAGGATGTGAGCACAGTGAGGCAGTGGGTGGTGCATTTCAGCAGTAGCAACATTGACTGCTAGTCACCTTTGCTGGTGCACCTTTTTGCAAGCACAACATGCAGACTCTTAGTTATCACTGGTGAAAGTGCTCAGCTGATGGTGGTGACTATGTTGAAAATGTTGTTTTGTCTCTGAGAATCTGCTCTATCAAATAATAGTATTGTGTTCTTTGTATTAGCTGTAGTTTCCACAGAAAAAAATAGAAGGCATTACTTACGAAGCAACCTACATATGCATTAGTTGAGGTGTAGTGCATAAAGGTCTTTCCTAGTCATTTGCATTATTCTTGGACTTTTTCTGTTAAGGCAGGAAGAAAAGGGGCAAATGTTTTGGTGAAATTACTTATCTGTGTATTAGAAAAAGGAATCGGTCTCTTCACCATAATTTCCAATTGAGCAACCTCTAAAAACGGAAAGAAGGTACTTTTAGTTAGTAAAGAGCTTCCTAAGAAGTGGTTTCATAGCATTAAGTAGAATATTTTAATGCTAGGAAATCATGATAATCCTGAGTCGTGGCTGCTTTAATTGCCTTTTAAAAATCTTCAGCTTCTATGAATATTTGGAAATTGCTTACTTCATTATTCTTATTCTTGTTACATGTCTACTTTAGTATGTATGGAACCAGACAAGGTCTTTGTTCATATAAGAAAGACATTTTCTATCAGATGTGACTCAGAAGCATTTACATTATACTGATACTATCTATTTCTCACTAGGTAGTACTGCACAAAGGGACAGAATCTTTGAGGGGTCTTGTGGCTGATTTCTGTGAGTGTATTTGGATGAAATGATCCAAGTCTTAAGATTTTGTAGTCAAGCACACATACTTAGCTGTCATTCTGTTTGCTAGCTGTGCTTCATTCTTAATGAGTGTATGAATCTTAATATACATGAGGTTTTGTGGAAGGATGTTGAATCCCTTTTAATAGTATATCCAGCTCATTCATTGCAGAGATTTTGTGGTGATGATGTAAAGTTGCAGCTTAAAAGCTTAGTTGCCTTATTTCTTATCAATAGTGAAGCTGTTCTAGAAGTAGGATTAACTTTGGTAGACTTTGCCACAGATTTCCTTGATGCAGAATGAGCAAGTGTGTTGCAAACTGGCATATCAGTTATTTTGTAGATACACAGTAGTCATCAAGAGATGTTTAAAAACTAAGAAACTTAGAGTACAGTATTTAAAGTAGATGTGTATGTGTATGTGCTTCATTAATTTCAGAAATTGAAGTTGTTGCTTTTGCTGTCTTGAGCAAATTGGGCACCTGTAAATGGAGAATAATTGATTGTAAGAAGCATGAGTAGTTTGTTTAGCTTTGGATAGTAGCCAAGATACAGACTGTTCTAGCTAAGAGTTCTATGTTTAGACACGAAACTTAAAAAGAAAAAACTCTCCTTGAATATTATGCTAAAAAACTCAAGTGCATGTCTGCAGAAAATAGCAATTCATTCCTTAATCTGGATGATTTTCAGGATAAAAATGTCACCCACTGACGTTCATTGATATTTGCTGAATGTTTATGGAGACCAAACAATGCTGTGAGCACAGTAAGGGGGTGGGTGGTGTGTTTCAGCAGTGGTGACAGCAGCATGAAAGACAACCCACATTCCAGACAGCCATGCAGATGTTTATGAATGCAACATGCAGGCTCCTCCTTGTTTATCACTGGTGAAAATGCATAGCTAATGGTGTTCACTATGTTGAGGAAAGGTGTTTTGTAGCTGAGAATTTGCTCTGTCAAATAGTGTTCTTGTCCTCTTTGTAGTTGTTATATATCCATGGAAACTACATAGGAGGCATTACTTCTGGAGTGACCTGTGTACTTCTGCTTGAAAAATGGAATACCATACTATCAGTTACCTGTTTTGTCACTGCTATATTCTCTTTTGGCCACTGGAGTGATGATGGTCCATTATACTTGTCTGGCTCAATTGCTTGATGGTCCTAGTTTATCCAGGAGAGTCAGAACTTTGACAATCCACAGTGCTATACTGTGAAAGTTGACAGTGAATTCCAGGGAAGTGTTGGCTTTTTGGCATTCAACTTCTGAGTATGTGTTGCAGTGCAGTAGGAAGGTAATTGAAACTGGCTTCTAGCTGTCACTTCCTAGTGTGAAACTAGCTTCCTAACTGCTGTCCCAAGGATATTTTATGCGTTCATAGTTTGCTTCAGAGTCTTTGACAGAGATTTGCAAGAAGCATGAATGGAAATACAGGCTGTAGGTTTGAGTACCTCTATTCAGTCATACAAATATTGCTTACTTTAAAAGTTTAAAAACAAACAAATACAAACCAACAAACAACACACACACAAGAAACCAAACACGTCGTTTACATGCAACATTTCATACTGTCTGGTGAAGTAGTACTGTCTTTGTACTTTAGTGTCTTAAGGAATGATTGGAGTTAATTCAGTAACCTAAGGACTTCTTCTGTTTTTAAAATAGAAATTATGGAGAAATCAGGTGAAGAAGGAATGCCTGATCTTGCTCATGTTATTCGTATTTTATCTGCGGAGAATATTCCTAATTTACCACCAGGAGGTGGTTTAGCTGGCAAGTAAGTACGGTACTGGAATTTCTTTAACTATTATTTCACTGCGAAGGATTATTTCTATATTCTGAAGTTTTTTTCAGTGTAACTGACTCAATTCAATAAAGGTTGTTTTCTGTATTTGAGGCTAGTTCAACTTTTGCTCTATCGTTTGTATCACTAATCCCATTCCTTACAGGTAAGTAGGGAGATTGATAATATTCTAGAACATAATGTGCTAGTTCACTGTTATCACAGATGCATTTAAAAATCTATCTATATGTGTGTATATAATTATTCTTAGCTCTCTACCACTTCATTGTGTTAAGAACTATCAGTAACATAACTGGTCAATCAGCGTATCAGATTTTTCCTAATATCACGCTCTTTCCAATGTGCAGTGTCCATTATAAATTTGAGTCAGTGTTTGGTTTTATTTTTCAACATATGAAGTCCTGTTCTCTGTGTATTTGTGGTTATCTATATTTTTGCTGGTTGCACTTATTGATGAGCACCATTTGCTAAAATTTTTTCTAACCTTAAAAGCGCCTGTACATTCTGGACCTTTTTCTCCACTTGTATACATTCCATCAGAGGTACTGCTCAGTGAGTTGATGCATCTTGTCACCTTGCTCATTAACAACTGCTTGAGTATTTTTGAATCTTCACTTATAAATTTTGTTCTAATTCATATGTTCTGGCTCAGGCTACTTTTTTTTTTTTAGTGGACTGAGGTTAAGAATTTGGCTTTTGATGACTTTCTACCCACATTGGCTCTAAAGTCTCGTGTTGCAGAAGACTGATTTCAGGAGATATACCTACTTTTTAAAAGAGAATTGGTGTTTTTTTGTGACCTTCAAATTTATGAAAAAGACAAATGATGATATATTTAGTTGACTTTACTTGTAGGATTGAATTTGTGAATATGAGTGTCGAAGAAGTATGATTACACAACTCCAAATTATCTACTCAAAACTTGAAACTTCTGTCCTCACATGAGAATGTTCTTAATTGTGAGATCTTTATGCTGTTACTAAGATGGAAAGATTTCACACTTAATTCTTCAGTTTAAACTCCTAGGTTTGGCTGAAAGTAGTTGCTGAAGGAGCTTATTTGGATGACACCCTTTTCTTTTTTTTAACAACAGTAATAGGTAGTAGTTGATCCTAGCTCGTAGTATGAGGGAACTTTTTCTAGCTGTAGAAATGCAGTGCAATACCTCTTGAGTAAGCTTGCAAACCTCAGGACCCAGCTTCCTTTGAAATAGCTCTGCTTTTCCAGGCACTGTGTACTTTCCTCAAGCATCTCACTTGTGTGGAAGTCAGAACTGTTTCATTCTTTGAGAGCAGAGATCTAAATATATCAACTCTGCTCACATGATTGTGCTGTGTTATCCTTTATGCTTACTCTTCCATGACTGTCTTCTAGCCTGTCTCAGATCTTCCTTGTAACTTCAAGTGCCACAAAACAACAATCATTTGTTGCTGAAGAAAACAACAATCCTGTGTGACTGTTACTTGGTCATTAGTATTTCCATGCAACATCTTGCTGCTGAGTTTTCCCATTATGGGAAAGTATAAAGAAATGTGCTGTAGAAAGAAAGTGAACTGTGAAAATTAGAATATTTCCAATAGCCTGACTTCAAACCTTTGCAATGACTGTGCTGTATCTGTGGCAGCCTTACTTGGACAGTCCAGGTGTTTTCTATTACATCAAGAAGCAAATAAGGTATTTTGCAGTAACTCATAGTTCAGAATAGTAATTCTATGAGTAACTTCTTTAGGAATAATGGATGTGGTGTGCTAAAGCAGGTAGCACTGTTGGTAAATAGTCAAAAACTGCATTGACCTTCTTTTTTGATCTTAGTGCTCACAAGAGTTAAACTAGATTCTTCAGCAGTCAGGATCTTGCTTCAAGTTGGTTCTTCTGTGAGAAGTACTCCAACCAATACTTAACTTACTGTCAGTTAAGATATCTTTGAGGGCTTGTCAAATCCTTGCATCTGTGAGATCTGATTGACTTCGCTTACCTAATATATCTTCCAGGGCATGCTGGTGGTCATGCTGAATTAAGTGTGGAGTTTCCTTCTTGACAAACTCTGACTATGCAGCTGGAATATCTGAAGGTGTAAAGTGATCCATGGGCAGGAGAAGATGAGAACGTTTTGCCTTGCCCAGTCGTTACAAATTATGAGTTAGTGTTAATTTCCTACATTATATTGAAAAAGTGTGTAAAGACACCAAGAATAGGCTTCATCTTAAGAGACAGGTTAAAGGTAGAACATGTAAATGTTCTGAAATAGTTAATTATTATACTCAAACTTCTAAGTTCTCTTTTAAAGCACTTGTGAACTTTCTTATTATTATGCTCACACTATTTAAAAACTTCTCTTTTTTAGGCGTAATATTATTGAAGCTGTGTACAGTAGACTGAATCCACACAGAGAGACTGAGGGGGTAAGTTTCCCTTTTGATTGCTCGTTTGTTAATGGGAACATCAAGCTGGTGTCATACACCAAGCAAAATCGTACATCACTGCTAATAAGGTATCATACAAAATATGTATTGGAGCACACAGTTTAATTTTGAGCTTGTTTTGAATGGATCTGATAGAAATGAATTTTGACCTTGAGGACATCAAACTGATTAATACTGTTTTAGTCAAGCCTGTGAGGCAACAGTGTAGGATTTTTTATTTTTTTAAAAGATAGGTTACTACTGTAGAATTATCATTAGCATATTCATGGATTAGCATTTTTCATGGAGTGTAGAAACCTTTGGAACACTGATAACAAGACTAATACTACTTTTGTGATAGCTAAGGAAAATATATATTCTGTGTGCAGTGGCCTAAGAACAGTTTAAATTGCTTTTTGTTTTCATTCAGTTCTGATTTCTGAAAAGATCTGTATTCATCTGCCCTGTTCCTAGTAGGTCGTTTTAAATATTTATGTGGCAATACGGTTTGTGGTAACTTCAAACCTGTTTTTTTGGGTTCTTCATAATGTAGTATAAGAAGTAATTGGTAACAGTTGTAGTTAACTTGTTGAAAAAACATTTGGGGGATTGCTTGAAGAACTACAGTGGTACATTGTAAAGGATTTGAAAAGGTCACTGTTGTTACACCTGCTGTCTTCTGTACAGTTTCTGTGAACCAATCTGTGAAGATAGAATTGAATAGCAGTAGATAGTAAATTCTTCATCAGATTTTTTTCTTCCTCTTTCTCTGGAGGTGGCCACAAGATCCTCAGTCATGTGGTCATTACAGTCAGTGGTGTTGGAGAGGAGTCATCTTTATAATAAAATACTTTGAAATGGGTAATTGCATATTCACAGTCTCAAGGTGCACAACATTACCAGTTATCTTTGTGTATTTCCTAGTGTTTTATTCTTTGATTACAGATTTTTGGTTTATTTATTCTATAAGTTACAAAGTTTTTTGTTGCGTCTCTGTTTTGTTAAAGAACAAATGCAGGAGTCTCCATTTTTTTTCATTAGGATTCACTTTTTTGTTGTTACTGTTCAAAATGGATGAAAAGTATAGATTTCTCATTTAACTTGTATCAAACTGTGCAACAGTACCCCCAGAACAAACTAAGCAGTGGTTGTACTGTTTGGCTGGCTGTCTTAGGATAATTGCAAAATATTCTTTTTTTCAGCTTCTTTAGTTCTTCAGGAAACTGTGTGCTACTGTGCATATTTACCCTTAGTATTATAATGTTGTTCCTGCTTGGGAGGGAAAGTTATTTGCCAAAGTTCTTTTTTGTTTCATCTGATTTTATTAAGTTTATATAATGATGACTTTGTGGAAATGTTAGTTGGCATAGTTGATTTTGTGATGCATGTTTTCAAAATTCAAATTTAGTCCTTACTAGCCTTGTATGTTTTCTAAGAGCCCTACTATGGAGGACAGCGTCTTTTTTGTATATTGACTCCCCGCAGGAAGTTTTTTCACATCTGTTACAATTTAATAAAATGAGGTAACTAAAGTAAATCTGAAAGTTACGTCCTTAGAATGGAATATAGTTTTGGCACTGATTATCTTTAAAAATTACTGTGTATTTCTTTGGAGTCCTTTTAATTTGGTTTCTTAAATGTGAAATGTGAGCATGCTCCAGTTTACTTTGCAAACTTCATCTTTTGTTGCTGCTGAGTGAAAATATCAGCAATGATATGAATGATGTACTTTAGAAGCACTACTCTAGATGAAATTACAGATACCATTTTTCAGTCAGTACATTTTTATTTTGGTTGTAAAGTGATTCTGGTCCAGAGTAGTTTGGGAGGAGGATGCTGCCACTTGGTGAAGGTTACAATTCCTGTTTGTACTTTCCAAGCAAGTAGGAATAATTTATCTTGCTGTCGTTGAGAGTGGGACCAAGCCATCACCAAGGTGACAGAAACATGATTGCTATGATTGTCTTATTCAGTCGTTGGTTCTAGGAATCAGGTAGAGATCCCTTAGTATTTTAAAGTGGCTGTTTAAGGAGGGAGGAAAAAAAGGAAGGAAGCTGTAGAGTTATGCAATGTCTGTGTTGTGATAATGTTGCTACACATCTCATTTAAACAGGAAGTGAAGGTAGGAAGGAAACATACAGCACCATACCAATGATGAAAGACTGAAATCTAAGTAATGCTTCTGTTCTAACATAGTATGAAGCAAGAGTAGTTCTTAATATTAAAAATTACATGCTGGAGATAAAAGCTTCGAATCTGCAGAGCATGAAGGTGCACTGACTTGAGCTTGAGAATCGTACCTTGTTTGTACTTAGTAGCATACTTACCTGTTAGAGTGTGGGTGTCATGCTTAAAATTGCTGGAACTAACAACCATCTTAATCTGGTGATTTTTATATTAGGGCAGAGACTTTTCTCTTACCTTTACAAGAAATGAAGTAGTTGTTAAAATACTTGTGCATTCAAGTAAACGTTAGAGAAGGAAAAAACTCATCCAGAATGTTTGCAGTTTAAGAATATGGCTTCCTTATGAAGCATTTACTTTTCAGTGTTGAACAATTTCAGCTAATAACCCTATGCTATGATAGCTTGACAAATAAGCTATTAGTAAGTATATAAATCAAAACTGAGATATCTTTTTCTAGATCGAGTTTCTTTTAAGTTTGCAATGCACAGATACCCTTTAGTATTGTGTTTGGCTTAGGCTTGTTTCTGCCACAGGAGCTTGTGATTCATGGAGTAGCTTTCAGTTCTTCTCATGTATGTTCTGTTCTGTTTATCTTGTGAGAATCTTTAACATAAGTAGGTATTATGTAGAGTGAGTGACTAATGAGAATGAAGAATCATTACTATGGCAGCATTCAGAGATTGCAGCTTGGCTTCTGGGTATAGCAGTCATTAGAAGTTTTACCCATCTCACCACTGTGCAAGTATTGGATAGATATGGGGGCTGAAGAGTGTCTTGCATTGGGCTGCAATCAGCAGCTCTGCTGGTTTTTCAGCAGAGAGGCTTCTGATATAGCTGTGTTACTCTTGTGTTTATATGAAATCATAGAAATTTCTTATGTTTTTATGCTCCTACTGCCTGGTGCAGTTAGGCTGCTTGGAGGTATGTGTAATTTAGAAATGAGAAACAAAGTTACTGACTGTGCCAGGAGTTTCAGTGACCTTTTTTTGAAGCCAGCTTTGTGTTTGAGTATCTTGCCTGACATAAGTTGTTTCTTTCTTGCCTTTACTTTACTTTCTGGCACTTTGCTGAAGCAAATGATGTCATTAAGGGCTGTGACAAATTGCATTTTTAAATGCCAAAATGCCAAAAATTTACATGTTTAAACACTGTAAATTCAGTGTTACTAATATATAGTAGGCTTTTATATACAAGTAATCTATATGTGCATAATTGTGTAAGAATTTAATGCTTGTGTTAAATACAGCTGCGCTGATGCACTAAGTTCAGTTAGAACATGAAGGAAGATAAGTGCTAACTTGCACAGTTATCTTAGCTTTCAGAGAATTTGGGAGACCTGTTCTAGCCAGGCATCACTAGCAAGAAATCTAGGTAGTAATGTATCCATATTGCAAGATACATAAAAAAGATGGTTTCTATCCTACTGTTGTATGTGGAGGTTTTTGTCCTCGGGTGCTGAGGGAGATGTGATAAGTGCAAAGTAGACCTACATCAGGCATGTTACACAGGAGTGAAAATATTTAAGCTTAGTCTCCCAAAAGAACTATGAAAGATCTGAGATTGTGAAATTAGTGTTTGTTTGCTAATGTCAACCTTGGAGCAGAACTGAGGAATTACACAATTTAGATGTTCTCCAAACATTCAAAAGGAATAATTCCTCATCTATAAAGCTTTATTTAATAACAGCTAGATAAATATAGTTAACTTTTTTTCTGTGAAAATCTAAGAAATTGGATATATCTGTAGTTTCATCTTGATACTCTGATTTTTCACCAACTTGGTGAGTCTCAATTAACGCATTAGAAATACCTTCTTTAATTTGCTTCTCCTCAATGGGCTCTTGAAGATCTCTCTGACTGTGAAAGCACTAGCACATGAGAGTTGCAACATGTGAAACTGAGACCAGGAAACCACAGTGGAAGTACATCTCTACTTAAGCAACAAATTAGGCTTAGAGGGATGGCACTATATGCAGTAATGCTCATTTTTTGCTAAAATTGTCCCCTTTTAACTTAAACATTGCTAATTGTTCTTAGTGCTTCTATTCTAGTAACAGTACCAAATCAAAAACTGTTCTTGAACCCAAGATACTGTCTTAGCACTGTTGTTAAGTTGTAAATGAGTGATTGCAATACTTTGTTTAGTTTATGAAGCTTTTGGACTAGATAACAATAAAATGAGGTCAGCATTAAAAGAGCAGTCTGGATTTTGCCTCTGTTGCAAAATCTGCCAGCTTTGAGTGATCTAGTTCCATTTGTCTAGTTTGATAACTTGCTAGATATTAATAATTTAAAATATGCTATTCCCTTAAAGTGACAGTACTGCTTTTAGCACTTGAAAGTTTAAATATGTGGCAGATGTACAAGTCCATTGCAGAAAGCAAAGACGCACAGCAGTGACAGACTTTTCATTGAAGGCCTGTGGCCAAATAGGTGCTTTGCAGAAGAGACCTACAATCTTTAATCAGTGCTTGTTATTTAGTTGTTTGTTTTTTTTGCTGTAGGTTGCTAAATTTGATTTTAAATGGCTGTTCCACTGGTTAATTTTTCTGTGTAGTACACACATCACACATCTGCCCAAATTACTATCTTATATTCTTCAAACATCCCCATTCCTGATGCTATAAGTAGCTGATTGTTTTTTTTTCCTTGGCACCATCAGGCATGCAAAAACCAGTCTTTTATGTAGGATTGTTTTCAAGTACACTTTGGAGCATTTATTTTGAAGCGATGCTTCAGTTAAACTGTTTGCAGTAAGGACTTGCCTATTCTTTTTAGTATGTTTTTCACAGAACTGCCTTGCCATTGCCTGTGAGAAATACACAATTAAACATACTGACCTGTTGGCTAAAGAAGCTTAAATATTCACATTTTGTACTGTCTGACAGCTGGTCACAGTTGTGGACAATGTCAACTGTGTCCACTGGGAGACAGTCTGAATAAAGTTTATTGGGAGGAGGTAGCATTTGACACTGTCCAGCTCAAAGCAAATTGAAATGATTGACAATGCTGTTCTAAAAGGTATCATTTTTTAAGTGTTGTATAAAATGAACATGTTCTGAGATATTGCTTATAAGGTGTTGTTTTTGTACTTGTTGTAGAATGAAGCTGATGTGTTTTTTTAGTCAGAAAAAGTTGTTTTTTTTTTTTAATGTGCTTCTAAAATATCCTAGTTTAACTACTGATTTTTTTGGGGTCTTGAATCTTAAAAAAAGGACCCTGGCGAAGCGGAGGAAAGTGGAACGCAGGGAAAATTGGTGGAAACGTTCAGGCAAATAAGAATAAATCATAGGGGGAACTACCGCCACCTTCTGGAAGAGATGCTGACTAGTTACAGGCTAGCTAAGATGCAGGGAGAAGAGTGCACTGCTGAATCAGCTGCAGCTTCTGCTTCAGATAATCATGCTGGACCCAGTGACCCTGTACCACACAGCCCCACAGAATCTGGGAGTCGCCTTGCTGAAATGCAGAGCTCAAGTGAAGATTCAGGGATGAATGAGATGAGTGATAAACAGACATGATGTCTTTGTTTTTCGTAGCAAATTTGATGCTTCTCTTCACTTGGCATATTTTCTTTTGTTTATATCTCAACATTTGTCACATCTATCGTAGAAGTCTGTTTGTTTTCAGTTTCAGTTATTTGTACAGATTGTTGACATAAACATATTTTTTTCCTTAGAAGTTGGAAGACTATTGTATATTACAGTAGTTGCATTTTATGTTCTATAGCAGCCAGTTAAGTTCCACATGAGATTTTGTTTTTAAATCCTGTGACCCCCAACAATAGGAACCTAATATGCTAATGCAAAAATAAAAGAAAAATCAAAAAGCATTTAAGTATGTTCTCAGAGAACATTTTGATGGTATGCTTGCTCATTGTAAAATAATTCCCATCTGAATGGTATCTTTTGTGCACATGGTTTGAATTTTATGAATACTTCCATCCTTTTCCCCAGCATAATAACTGCATGTTTGTATTTGAATTGTGTATAGTTTATATTACAACTAAATTACAAAACCTACGATGTGTTAGTTTGTCACTTTTTCTTCCTGAAATGTGTATGTTTTTTTCATTTTAGATTGTATCCATTGTTCATAAATACTTATTTTTTAGATGACTGTATTTTTGTTTTCCAGGTTGTAGCATAACGTATAACCAGAAATGAAAATGTACTTAGAAGTAGTTCATAGTTTCAAGTTCTAAGAGTTTGTGTTGAAGTGAAAATAAAGAATATGCTGTGGAATAATACCTGTATGCATATTGACTCTTTTAAGCAAGTAATAAACTTACTTTGAAATGCTGTCTTTCTGCCATTGAAACTTCTCATAGCTTCTCATTTTAACTTACCATGATGTTCATTAGTTTCTACAAATATTTCAGTAATTTTGAGTTTGACACACTCATCCTTAGTCCTCAGTTTGGGCAACATTTCTCAATTTCAAGTTAAACATCAGTAACAAATGAATAAACAAGTAGTTCTACTTAGGTTTACCTTCTACCAAATCTTTTACTTGTCTTTTGGTGTATGACACATGCATTTGGGTAGGCCATGGATGATAGTGGGATTTTACAGTGGTGATGACTAATCTGCTAGCAAGTTAAATCTGGAATTGCTGTGTCAGTAGTCAGTCTGTAACACAACAATTGCATAAGAGCATCAGTGTTCAACATAGGTACATATTTCACTGCCTCAATGAAACAGAGCCTGAGGGAATATACAGTGAACCAGGGAAGTCTTAGAAGTTAAGTTTTAGTACTCTGTAGACTTTTTTTTTACTCTGTGGGTGCAGTGGTGTCTATTGATAGCTGTGATGTAGTATGGTTTTAGGTAATGTTTAAGTCCTTATGTTGTAGTAGTTTTACTGGGTTTGTGTCTCGTAAAAGTGAATTGTCTTGTGTAGTTGCAGAGCAGAGCATGTCTGTGTGTGGAATTTGGCAGGTATGAAAAAAGGGAAATGTCTTTTAATGCTAGTGTTCTAATTAATTGTGCCACTTAAATCCAAAGTGCAACAAAATGTTTTCCTTTGTTTTGGTAAGAAGTAATGTTTCTCCTCTTCTCTTCCTGTAGGGTGCTGGAGATCTAGAAGATCCGTGGTAGCCTTACAAATCTACTAAAATGCTTTTGATTCTGAAAGGGGGAAAAAACTTTTAAATCTGTTTTCTTCAATACAAGGGAAAATTTCTGGTGGATTTCCAACATTTTGTGAAATGGGCAGAAAGATATTAGAATTTTCCATCATTCGTTCATGTTTGTGTTTTCCGATATTGCCACTCTTAGCATTGCCTGTACTACAGTATTTTTACCAGCCTCAGGCATACTGATTACATCTGTAATGAACTTTGGCCCTAAAAAGGAAGGAAGGAGTGATGCTCTCAGCAGATCAGTGTATGTACCTGAGTTGCATGGGATTGTAGTTGTACTCTGAAGATACACTGTGGTTAAATGAAATTACAGCATACAAGCATGAGAGAGTACAAGTAATTCTGTGAGACGTTCCTTATTTCACTTTACCGAGTTGGAAGGCTTTGCAGCTCTGTGGCTTGGAAGTAATTTCAATTGGGCAATATGCTATCAGATGTGTATTATTATTATTATTATTTTTAATTTTCCAGTTTTACCTGTATTACCAGACCGTTAGGTTTCCCTGCGGTGTCCAAATTGTGATATGTTGCCTACTGCTTGCTTGGAGATAAGTGTATTTGGCAATAATATATGAAGATTCTAGGCATCTAAAAACAGTAAGAATTTTACGCATGTGTACAACACACCCTTACACTCTTGCTAGAGAAAATCTTTTAAAACCAAACTGATGAGTTTCTAGTTAGTAGTGATTTGTTTTGACATCTCTCACAGCTGCAGGTTTTTAAAAAAAAAATGCTGAAAATTTGCCTTTATTATAATGTAAATTGTGATTATTTTTTTGTTCTATATGTGGTTTTCTATAGTTTTTTGATTTTTTTTCAGCTTAAGATACAGACAGAAGTCTTGTGTAATATGGGTATAATTTTTAATTGTTTGCATTATTTTCAAAGTTCAAATTATCACTTTGAGATTACTATAAATACACTTAAAATTATCTATTTTAAATTAAGAAAATATTAGAGATATTTTCATGGGTTCAATGACCTTTCATTTTATAAGCAATGGGCATGGTACAGAGTGGCTGTCATGTAAGGTACTTGAAGATTCTTAGTTTAATTCTATTTTTGCAATAACCTTGACTTTTTCTTCTGACTTCTTTGAGTTGTGCATGTAATGAGTCCAGTAAATGCTGAAAATGGGGAAGAGTAAAGTATTTATCTAAAGTAAAAGCTATTGGGGAGGGGAAACAATGAATGTATCCATCTGTACATGATTTACATGCTGTGGATGCCTTGTAAACATTTTCCTATTTGTTTAAACTGTGTTTCAGCGAGGATGTAATTGCCCTTGTGTGTAGTTTTAAGCTAATGACAGTCATCAACTGGTTTTGTGTGAAATGGAATTCATGGTATTTTTCTGTAACTTTATCCCCATGGTGAGTCTGTATAAACCACATGCTCTTTCATAGCAGTGCCGAAGGCCAGCTTTCCCCATCATTTTGATTCACTGTGTACCTGATTTTTTAAATTTTTTTTTTTGGGTCTAGAGAAGATTATTGCCACAATATATTTTATTTATTCATTAGATTTTAGCTTTGTAAGTTAAAGTGTTCTAAATGACGATGTTAACAGGTATTTGTCCCTTTACTGTTTTTTTGGGGGTTGTTAAAAGATAGGGAATGAAGAATGCAAAATGGTTTATTGTTCAGACTATCCGCTCTGGTCCAACCCTGTACTGATAGTACTTTCCCAGTATGATATTGTGATGTTTCATACAATACAGTGAACATAACCAACTTGTTATCTTCAATAAAGGATTGCTAAAACAGTGTGATATGCTTTATATTTTCTTGAGAAGGATTTGTCAAGAAAGTGCAAGTGTTCTTTTATAAAAAGGATAGGGTTTGCAAGGTTTCTTTTCTGGTACAGCCTGGTGATGGATGTGTTATACAGGGAGTGTGGTTCTTTGCTGCAGGAAGCCAAGAGTCTGTAAGTAGGCTTCTTTGTGGGTGACAGAACACTACGATCAGTATTTAAAGTTGCTCTAGTAAATTCATCCCAAGTTCAGCTGAAGTGAGTCTTATTCTGCCTACTGGAGAACATTTGCTTAAAGTCTAAACATTTGGCTTCAAATTGACCGTTCAGGCAGTTCTCTTGCTGAAGTTCTGTAAAGATCCAAGGCTAGGTCTAGAAAATTTTTCTTGTAAGATGTTTTAGATAGAAGTAGTTGTGATGTGAATACCTCACCTTAATTCTTTTTACTGATTTTTATCTAGTTATTTTTACTTACAGTGGAGTTGTTTAGCTGGAGGAAAAGAAGTGCCAACAGAATCCTGCATTGGTGACATTGTAGAAATAATGTTTGAGCACTTGGTGTTGCTGTGCAGTGGGCACGTGTAGGAACAAGCCATAGGTTTTTGAGTCTGCAGAACAGTTCCTGGGATGCGTTTGTTGGTTCTGCTTTTACAGCATAAACCTCACATGATGTCCTGCTGAACTGCAATCTAAACCTTGTTCTGATGTAGTATGAGTTCTTGGACTCCATAGGCTCCAGTTCTGGGAATGTTTATACGTGTGATATTTTTACCTTGATATGTATTACCTCCCATAAATGAAAGGGTTTGTACTTTCTGTAAGTATTTATTGTATAGAAGTGAAGCATGCACATAGGTTTTTTTCCAAAGAGAAGGGCCACGGCTCATGCAGCTCAGTGAAATGTGAATCAAGACTTCTGTTTGCTCTTTGAAGAAGCACTGCTTTTAGTTGGCGCGTACACCAAGTTTCTAATTCTAATCATGTTTCTACTGTTTAGATTTCAGCAGCCGGGGGAGGGGAGAAAAAACAACAGCATTCTTTTAGTCTGTGTGTTCTTAGCATGAGAAATCCGAGATGTTTGATCAGATTTGTTCATGGATTTTACTATTTGCCATACCTTGTCAATTGTAACATTTGGTTTAAAAATATGTTTTCCTAATTATATTGCCATCTGGTAACTAACGTGCTTTTGTGTAATGCTGAGAGTAGGAAGTGTCACTTCCACTTCAGGTCATTCTGACGTGTCAAATTCATCTTGAATCTCCATTTCTGTGAATACTCCTGTACTGCAGACAAAACAGTCTGTGTCACTTCTGAAATCTGCTATCTGATCATCTTGAGAAAAATAAAGATTTAACTGATTATCATTAACATGTTAAATGGAATAGGGAATAAAGAAATAAATGCAAATGCAAGTGTTGTAATCTTGACCTCAGCAGGTTTTTCCGAGAGATTAAGTACAAACTCAAACGAATGAATCTTCATATGTTTTTTTCTAAGCCTGTGTGCAAACTGTTGTGGGCCTTGACCAGAATGTCTGTGCTTTTTATGCTGCCTACATGAATTATGCTGTTATTTAGATGGAGTGAAAAAGAAATGAAGTGTACATTTGAAATATATGTCAATTTTTGGACACATCACAGGCTAAGAAGCTAGCTTTACAAGGCTTCTTTCTTCTGTAAGGCTTTTGTAATGCTGTCGAATATTAATAGATATTTTCTACCCAAATACATAGAAATCTGTGTGTGTGTATGTATATTTAATTTGTCCCATGGCAATTGTAACCGTAAGCCATGAAACTGGTCAGATGCTGTGTGGTTCTGCATGAAGTTGGTTAAAGGATGAGGAAATTTCAAGGAACTGAGTGAAGATATTCCCAGTTTTCACTTTATTTGGTTCTAGAAAATTGTGCTTCGAGTAAATGTATCAGTATGCTACTTGAGTATTACAATCATAAGCTGAAGCAAAAGTAACCCAAGTTGTTGCTGAGGTTCATGCAAAAAAAACTGCCAAGCAACTTTCTAATCTGTCAACAAATCCAAGTTTTGTTGGTATAAACAGCAAAATTTTAGATTTAAGGTTTGTCTACTGCAGATGTGTTGCTTTTCGGCTCTAAATTGAAAGTTTAAGTTGGAGAGAGTGCAATTAGTGCAGGTGAGCAACTGCAAGGGATGCCCCCAGAGATGAATGCACTTTGGCAAGATCACACCGAAGTAAGCCAGTCACTGAACGATTGCAGTACGTGCATGTAAGTATGGAGCTAGCTCATGCAGTTGAAACTGTGCATGGGATATTAAGCATCTTTTATAACACTTCCGTCCATCTGACAATTTAATCTCGTCGTGCTTTTATGTTGGCTGTTGATGTACAGGTCTGATTTAGCTTTGCTTTGCTTATACTGACTTATATTCCCCCACCCTGTGGCTGCTTTGCTGTCAACCAAAAGACAAGTAACTTCCACACTGTAGCGTGACCGAGTCCCTTTTGTGTTCACTTGTTTGCATGTGGTCATCTCTCACATCCCTCATGAACTTCATTTACATTTGTAATCTGTGCTGCTGCGCTTCTCTCTTCACATCTGAGAGGTGATGTTCTCTTAGATACTTCATTTTTCTGTAAAGCTCTTCTCTGCAGGGATGCCTGGATTTAAAGACTAGTTGGTGTTACTGAGAACTTTGTTCGGCACTGTTGAATACTTGCTTTTTCCTTATCCTCAAGTCATGAGGATAGTTTTCTAGAGGAACAGCCCTTCTCCATCAGTTTGATAACCTTTCCGTGAAAGTAACTTGCTAATAAAGGAGGACAACTACATTGTAGCAAGAGAATGCAGTCTGAATGCTTTCTGTCCCTAATTGAAATGTGGTGGTGTTTTCTCACCTATTGTGCCAAGTCCTGATAGCCTGATTTTCTGTTCTCTCAGACTTCTGGAATTTAAGGTGAGTTACAGAGAAGTTGAGACTACTTTGTAGTAATTTTTGGGATTGCAAGTATCCTGCTTTTGACCTTTACAAAGCTGGAACAATCACATTTGTAAGTGCCCTCAAGTTCTTGGAAGACCATCTCATCTGTAAATATAAATACTGACTTCTGTGGCATTTTCAGGTGATGTTGGGATTCTATTGGGTAGTTGAGAGAGACTTTCAAAAATAAGTGTTGTTTAAA